TAATTGACTCAATTCCACAGATTGTACAGTAAGCATGGCTGGGGGTCCTCAGGAAAATTACAATCATAGCAGAAGGCAAAGAGGAAGCAGACATGTCTTACCTGGTCAGAGCAGGAGTAAGAGAGCAAAGGGGGAGGTGATACACACTTTTAAACAACCAGATCCTGTGAGAACTCACTCACTATCACAAGAACAGCAAGGGGGCTGTCCACCCACGTGATCCAATCACCTCCCACCAGGCCCCTCCTCCAACACTGGGGATTACAATTAGACATGAGATTTGGATGGGGACATAAATCCAAACTATATCAAGATTAATAGTGAAATAAATGAACAAGGAATGATTTCATTTTCTATAGGGCAGGTCTGCTAGTGACAAATTCTGCCACTTTTTGTTAATTTGGAATGTCTTAATTTTGACTTCATTTTTGAAAGATAGTGTTGATGATTATAGAATTTCTAATTGATAGTCTTTTACTTTCAGCATTTTGAATACATCATTGCCCTGCCTTCTGACCTTCATTTCTGATGAGAAGTCCGTTGTTTGTCTTATTAAGAATCCCTTTTATGTGGTGAGTCTTTTTTTTTTTTCTTTTTTGCTATTTTCACGATTTTGACTGTGATATGTCTTGGTGTATATTAGCCTGAATTCGTCTTGCTTGGAGTGGATTGGGCTTCTTGGATGTGTAGATTAAATTTTTTTCATTAAATTTGAGTTTTCTTCAAATAGTGTTTTGCACTTTTTCTCTACTCGCCTTCTGGAATTCTATGATGCATGTATTGGTACACTTGATGGAATCCTACAGGTTTCTGAAGCTCTGTTTATTTCTCTTTATTCTTTTTTCTGTCTCTTGGTCAGAATAGATAATCTCAATGGACTTACCTTCAAATTTACTCATTCTTCTGCTAGCTAAAACCTACTGTTTAGCCTCTCTAGTGAATTTTTCATTTCAGCTATTGTACTTTTTGACACCAGAATTTCCACCTGGTTCTTTTTAAAAATTTTTGCCTCTTTATTGAAATTATTTATTTGATGCAGGACATTGTAATATTTTTCTTTAATCCTTTAGACATGGTTTCCTTTGAACATATTTATAATAGCTTCATTCAGTCTTATTGAAAATCTTCATTTAGTGATCCAATATGTGGCCTTCTTTATGAATAGTTTCTGTCAATTGCTTTTTTCCCTGCATATTAACTGTACTTTTTTGTTCCTTTCATGTCTCATAATTTTGGTTGAAAACTAGACATTTTAGGTAATATAATGTGACAGGTCTGAAAATCAGATATATTCTCTTCCCAGGGCTTATTGTTGTTATTACTGTTTTTTTTTTAGTGACTTTCCTGGATTACTTCTCTAAAGTCTGTATTCCTTGTAGTGTGTGTCCACTGAAGTTTCTATTCAGTAGCTTAGTTGGTCAGAGATTAGTTTAAATGCCTTGGACCAATACATTTTTCACCCTTCCAGGGAACTGTGTGTGTTGAGGCATGCTTTCAATACACAAGCAGTTCACTCCTCAGCCTTAGCTTTTCGTTTATGCTTGTGCAGAGCTTCGAGGTGAGCCAGAGGTGAGAAATGAGGCCCTTTCATTTTTTTTCCTAGGCATGTGCACAGTCTGGATGTGCATGTGGTTTTCTGGATCCCCAGAGATATGCCAAAACTTTTCAAAATTTGTTATGGTCATCTCATTTTCTAAATCTTTCTTTAAAATTTTTGACCTGCCCTTTAGTGTGGATGCTTTAGGGATGGGACTTTTTTAGATCCTCTAAATCCCACCTGGTAGCTGCAAGGATGCCAGTTTTTGTAATTACAGTAGAGCCAGGCAGTGGTTGTTGGGAGTAGGTCAGATCACAAAGCCATAAGCTGACCAACCTGGGCAATATAGCAAGACCCCATCCCTATAAAAAAATTTTAAATTAAAACAATTAGCCAAGCGTGGTGGCATGAGCCTGTAGTCTCAGTTACCAGGGAGGCTGAGATGGGAGGATTCCTTGAGCCTAGGAGTTTGAGGTTACAGTCAGCCATGATTGCACCACTGCCCTCCAGCCTGGGTGACAGAGTGAGATCTTGTCTTTTAAAAAATAAAACAAAATAAAGCCATAAATTGCTACTCTTATGGAGGTTCTGTACTTCTTAAGTAAATGTGTATTGTTGCATGCTTTTGGTTGATTTTTGGAGTTAAGAAAAAGTTAATTTTAACAATTTTTGCCAGTGTTTTCATTACTTTTATGGAGAAACAGATTTATGAAGGTTTTCACTCTGCCATTCTGGTCCCCTATTAATCTACATTCAGCAGTTTTTACTTTTTTGATAGTCTAACAATTACCACTTTAGACATTCTTGTACACATATCCTTTAAGCATCTGTCTGATTACTCTTAAAAAAATTTCTCATGCTGGGTCAATTGGATAATGCTTAAAATTTTTATATCCCAGCAAGGTAATAACAGTGTGATCCCTTCAATAACATGCTCATCTCCTTTCCAGAATTGGATTTGATCATTTTTTTTATCTTTGCTGGCCTGATATGCAAAAGAATAATTTCTTGTTTGAATTATCATGTCCTTGATTACCAGTGAGAATATATATCTTTCCCAATATTTGCCATTATTTGCTCTTCTTTTGTTTATATTATAACTTTTCTCTATTCCTTCCTCCTCCTATCTCCCCCATTTTCCCCCATCACATTCCCCATGAAACTCTTTGAAAGGTTCAATCCCACTAATTGCCTTACAAGGCAATATATCTAACTGCCAATGCAAAACTATCTTAGACCAACCCAGAAATGCATGATGAAGTCATAAACAAAATGTCTTGGCGTAACAGATGCTACAGCTTCAGCATCAGGGGTGTTATTGCCTTGTACAATTGCTTGTGTGATCCCAGTGTCCTGGGGTGGCATGGATGACACTCTCATCCTAACAGGAATCAGTTTTTCTGCTTTATGATGCCCTCTAGAACCACTAATTATATCCATCTCACTCCCAGCTATTTGTTTTTTCTTTCTTTCTCCAGACTGAGAGATGGTGGAGGGGAGTAAACCTGGTTCGTCTGAGGGGTACAGGATAGCCTGCAGGAGCCCTGCCCAGACCCTGAAGGCAACTCTCCCAGTCACAGCTTTTCAGGGGTCATCTTACCTGAGTCACCATGGGGACAATGTACAGGAGGACCTTGTCTTACTCTGCTCATGGGAGACCCCATCAGAAGATCTTGTTTCATGCAGGAGCAGGAGACCCAGGAGACTTAGGATCCTACTGTGGCTCTGCCCAGAGTGTCCCATCCTAGAGGCGGGAGGATACCCTCAGGCAGCCCTTGCCTCTTACAGAATCAACACGGTCAACAGGAAGATGAGAGGTGGGACTGACTAGCTTTAAGTCTTGTCCAGCCCAGCCACTTATGATTGGGTTACCAATGAACACCTAGACCCTGCATGAATATTCAGAGGTTGAGAAAGTGTACCCTCCTCAACTCTCACTCCCTGCCACCCACACAGGACACCAATCCCCAGTTTGGTCTTGGGAGTCAAGCTGCCTGAGCTTGAATCCCACCTCCACTTCCTACTGGCTTGTATGTGACTTTAGGCAAGTTATTTAATCTCCGTGTTCCTCGGTTTCCTCACCCGTAAAATGGGGACAATGCTATTACCTACCTCAGGCAGGCTGGGAGTGGTTCTAAGAGAGGTAACAGATACACAGTGCTTCCAACTGTGACTGGTAGACAGTAAGCACTCAAAAAATGTTAGCAATCAAAATGCTTTGGAGTTTAGCCACTGTTCCTAGCCCTGACCTCTTCAGCCATTGTTTAACTCAACAGCGGGAAATCTGCTGGGGCTGGGGCACACTGAGCACTGTGCCAGGATGCCCACCATCTGGGGATGGGTGAGGAGATGGGCTGATGGAACCCTGGAACTCTGTTCCTGCACTGTTTCCTGGGAAAATCTGTGACTGTTCCCAAGGGCAATATACAGAGCCCTGTGACTTGGAGTCAGAAAGATCCACCTTTAAGGGCCTGCTCCTTATGGACTCTCCATGAGACCTTCATAAGGGTGGATTCCCTAAGCTCTGAGTGTCAACTTGTTCATTTTCAAAATGGAAATCACAGTATGCACCACTTGCTGTGTTAAGGAAAAGATTACATTGCTAACGCCTGAGACCTGATAAACACACCGTCACCACACTAAGGACTCATTTCGGGTCATAAAAAGTGACATTCTGCTCTTACCTTTTCTCTTATCATTAAGAGCCCCCTCCACCCCCACGACCCTATTTGGAATAAAGGACATGCCAAAGTTTCTGCAAATTTGGTCTCATTTAAAGCCAAGCAGAGGTGGCTTTTATGTGATATGACATAAAAACTCAGACTGAGCCCTGTTTTGCTTTCTCTTTTGGCTGCTCACTTGACCTAGCTGCCTTCCTTTTCCTCACACCACAGGGAGCTCGGGTTGCCAGGTAAAACCAGCCTAAGTCTAATGAGTTTCTTCCACTTATGCTGTTTGCAGTGGCCTCAGCACCCTGAGCCAAGGGGCCAGTGATGCTGTGTGGCTGTGCTGACAAGTCCCTTCCTCTTGAGCAGCCCTGGGACCTGGGACGCAGGAAAGGGAGTAAGTGAGCCAGTGCTCAGAGAACAGCCACCTACAGACCCGCAGGCGGGACCCCCCCAAGGGCTGCATTTAGCTTCCACAAAGAACCAGGCCCTCTTCCTCAGGGGAGGAACCATTTCCAGAACACAAAGCAGCCTCCGGGGAGGTCCAGATGCTGCGCCTCTGCCACTTCTCAGTGCTGAGCTGGTTTGGCAGGGAACATGGCAGGCAGCAGTCGGCAGTCGCCAGGGGCAGAGGAGCATTCTGTGCCATTTTTACAGAGTCACGTTTCTGACTTGATTGAAAGTAGAATCTTTAATAATATATAGGTTTTAAGTGACTGAGGCTTGCTTTTGCCAAATCCTAGCATAAAGCATATTTTTATAGTTGGGATGATAAACCCCTGAAAGACGGCACTTACCATGGAAACGCTGACACAGCCTTTCATACCCTTCACAGTGATTAAAATCCTCATTTCAATTTGTTTTTCTTTATTTTGAGCTAGAGTCATTTGCAAGCCCAGGAATACATCTCTCTGTGAAAGAAAACGAAATGCTGCCCTCTGTCAGAAATACAATGGAACTGTTCTTAACTCACTGCAGTGGAACGAGTCTTGCTTCGGAGAATCATGGGAACCCAGGAAATCAGGCTTCTAGCCAAAGAAGAGACTCCTGCAGAACTTACCTTGTTTCCTAGGGAAAGTAAGACAGAGATGGGAAGGCAGGCAACCAACAGCGTGTTACCGAACCAGAGGCCACTGTGGGCACCTGGAGATTTAGCCTTTGAGGGATTCTGGGAACCATTGTAGCCAGTGCACATCAGGGCACATCCTGTCTACAAGGTGGGAAGCTCGGGGGTGTTTGTTCATCAGTTCCCACCAGTCATTGGTTTCAAGCTGCCACACATCAGTTCTTATGCATTTCTGGCCTGCTGGTCATTGCAGGCTCCAAAGGCCAGAGGGAGCCCTCAGGCAAAGAGAGGCAGATTTGGCAGTCGGAGACCTAGCCCTTATGCTGGTGAGACCCAAGTGCATACAGGGCGCCCTGATCTGTCTGCTGCACCCACTCTCCGTTGTCCCTTTTGTGCTCCTTTGGACTGTTTTATTTGCAAGTATATTTAATATGGTTTAGATGTTTGTCCTCCAAACCTCATCCTCAGCGTTGGAAGTGGAGCCTGGTGGGAGGTGTTGGGGTCATGGGGGTGGATCCCTCATCAATGGCTTTGTACCCTCCCCATGTAATGAGTGAGTGCTCACTCTTAGTTCCATGGAGAGCTGGTTGTTTAAAGGAGACTGGCACCTCCCCCTCGCTCTCTCGCTCCCTCTCCCCTCCTGTGACATGCTGGCTTCCCTTCCCTTCTGCTATGACCAAAAGCTTCTTGATGCCTCATCAGAAGCTAAGCAGATGTGGGCTCCATGCTTCTTGTACAGCCTGCAGAACTGTGAGTCAAATAAACCTCTTTTCTTTATAAATTACCCAGCCTTAGATATTTCTTTATAGCAACCCAAAATGAACTAATACAAAATTTCACTCCCTTGGAGTTCAAGGAATTCCCTCTGTTTATCCAAATCTTATCATCTGTGCTGAACCAAAAGCTCAGTGCGCTTACTAACCAAATGCCCAAGAATGTCTTTCTACCTTCCCAAATCTTCTAACTGGAAAATCCTTAATTGACCTGGCCATGTGTCTTAATCTGCCAGTGAGATCTCAGCAGTGTTTCTAGTTTAATAGCTAATGTAGTCTGAAATTTCCCAACCTAACAAGGCTTCATTCAACTCTGTAGATCATGTTAGAGCTTGGCCTAATGAGACCTGAGCATTTCCCTGATTCTGCACATGGTCAGAGCTTGGCAACAGTTTTCCAAAGCGTTCCATGGATAATCAGTCTGAAGAGTTATCCCTCAGAATAGGGATTCAGACATGAGTAAGCCTGGTAACATCACTAGGTATAGCCCCCTCTTAAAGATCATAAGACCTATCAGCGTATTAAAGGCTCTGAGAAGTCCTGCAGTGAAGAAATCCAATTAGCTTTGTTTAACTCAGTGTTTCCCAACTTATTTCATCACCGGACTAGTTCTTTGCAAAACATCTATTATCATCCTGTAACATACAAGATTATAGTACACGTAAAAGGATTTGCCTTCTATTTGTTTTCCACCCTTAGTGAATTTTTGAACTATTTTTATTTTACAAATATGACATGTTTCTTGTAGAAAAACTGGGCTGGGTGTGGTGGCTTATGTCTGTAATCCCAGCACTTTGGGAGGCCGAGGCAGGTGGGTCACGAGGTCAGGGGTTCGAGACCAGCCTGGCCAACATAGTGAAACCCCACCTCTACTAAAAAAAAACAAATACAAAAAATTAGCCAGGCATGATGGTGTGTGCCATCGCGCCTGTCTTCCCAGATACTTGGGAGGCTGAGGCGAGAGAATCTCTTGAATCCGGGAGGCAGAGTTGCAGTGAGCCGAGATCCCGCCATTGCACTCCAGCCTGGGTGATGGTGTGAGACTCTGTCTCAAAAAAAAAAAAAAAAAAAAAAAAAAAAAAAAAAAAAAAAAAAAAAAAAAAAAAAAAAAAAAAACAAAAAAACGGAAAGAAAGACTGAAAAAAGATACAAATAAGGAAAAAAGAAGAAAAAGCACCAAGGCATAATTACTGTGAACATTCTGGTTTCCGGCAGAGCATGTGTCCACGTTGCAGCATTCCTTTGTGAGAAGCAGTTTTTATTATAAGAAAAATTAATCTCTCTTCCCCAGATTATGTTCAGTTGTATGACCCTTGATTGTAAGTAGCAGGTTTCATAAAAGAAAACACACATTCTAGCCATCAAAGGCCAAAGAACTATTCTGAATTATTTCCAAAACCCCAGGTGGAGGAAAATTCCTCTACCATATGCTGTACCTTTTATAGGGAATGGCAGGCCAAGAAAATAAATGAATTGGTAGGAAGAGGGAAAAAATGTGATTTCTCAACCATGGAAAAATATTTATTATAAAAAAAGGCAATAATGAAATCACTCAAGAATTTGGAAGATTGTCTTTGGAAGATGAGCGCAAAGGTGACTTTCTTTGCTGCTGTAAAATCAAAGCATAAAGATAAGCATTTTGTAAAGCATCCCCTCTCCCCCGACAAAACCAGTTACAGTGGGAATTAAAGCAGAGTAGGGAACACTGTGTCTTGTTGGGGGTGGGGGGAGCCTTGACTGGAGGTGACACAGCCCCTGGGGTAGGGCCAGGTGCGTCTGTCCCGAGAAGCACTGGGCTTGCCGCATGACCTCCAGATGCTGCAAGCATGTGTGAGGCCATGGGTGGCTCCAGGGGAAGCAGGAGGTACAGTTGGTCACAATGATGTCATGCAGCCCTAGGAGGGAGCACTGTAATTACCCCCTTCACAAATGCTCTCTGAAAGCCTGAGCATGTTTCTTCCATAGGGGCTTTGCCCTGGCTAGCTGTTCCCTCAGCCTGTCATGGCCTTTTAGGCCTGAGCTCAGAGATGGTCTGTGAGGAACCCAAGAGCACACAGCACAGAGGCAGGGCTAACACCTGCCTGACTGCAAATCCCGCAGCCTCAACTTTGAGTTTTCACAGGGTTTTCCAACAGTTGTCGTTTCAGAAGGGAAGATTTCTGCCGTAAACTTTGCACATGTGTGCTATCTGAAGTCTTGGGGGAACATCTGATGCATAACTCCAGATCTCCTTCTTTTCAAGATAATGGCTTGTCTGAAAGGACCAAGGACAATTCCAATTCTGTCCTCTACGGGCTGGAAGACCATTCTGGGGGGTACCTGCTCTGTGCATACAGTCACAAACCATAGCCCCCTTGCTGCCAGCCCGTCTCTCTTGCCCTCTTGAAGCAAGAGCCAGCCAATACTCCAGGCTCTGTGGAAACACTGCACAAGGCATGGACCCAGAGGAAATCCCTTCAAGCAGAGCCAGCTGCCCACCGATGATGGTCACTTAGTGCCAACCAGATATCATGCTGTCCTGCCGCCGGAGGGGGAACCTAGAGAGAAACAATGTCGACTTGTGTCTTGTGCCAACTCCTCACAGCGATCTCCCTGATCCCCTATATAACGCAGCAGTTCCTGTCACTGTCAAACCTCTGGTTCATGTTTAGTTTTCTTCTTTGCATTTATCACTCTCTCATGTCAGGGTGTCTCTCTCTCTCCTTCATGAGAGACAGGCACATGAACCATCTGTTCACCTTGATTCCCCAGATCCCAGAACACTGCCTGGCGCCAACACATGCTCAATAAATGTCTGTTGGTTGAACATCTGCCTGTCCTTACAAGTACCATGGGTACATATCAGAGCGTCAGGAGTCCAGGTAAGGACCGGTTGGGTGATTCGGTCAGTTTGACTCCAGTTAGAATCTTGACCCCTTCTTTAGTCATTGCAGTAGGCATTGGCAGTCAGAGCAGCAGTGGATGACACTTAGGGACCTGGGCTCTGGCCCCCTTCTCCTCTGTGACCTCCAGCAAATCCCTTCCTCTCTACCCATCAGCTTCCTCAATTAGAAAAAGAAGTGAGATGTACTCTAAATATCTTAGGGTAAGTTTCTATCCCCAAGGTAAACACTAAAAGAAAAGTGGTTGATTAGGAAAGAAAACCAGTAGGGGAGTGGGAGGGTGGGCGTGACCAGCTAGGAGGAGGCCACACAAGGGTGCAGTGTCAGGCAAAATGCCCTGGAGTCTTCCCCTTGGCTTCATCTTGCAGGGAACCCTAGGGACAGTGCAAGTCACCCCCCAGAGTATCTTGGTCAGGATGAGGGGCTGGAGCGTGTATACCCCTGCATTGTCATGCTTGGTCAAGGGCATACCTAGAGGGCTGTAAATTCCAGGCATTTCTAGCTGTCAATGAGCACAGGCAGAGTGGACTCCAGACAGCTGCAGGCAGCCCTCAGATAGACACACAGATGTTACCTGTTGGGGTGGGGATGCTAAAGGGAACAGCGGCAATATGGGTGGAGTGTTGGCATGGTCTCTTAAGATGGTCCTTTCCCACATAGTACTCAACAGTCTCTCTAGAAATGTGAGTTTTGACGAAGGACTTACCAGGTGTGCCAGCCCGTGCATGTTACTGAATCTCTTAAGCCTCAACATCCTCAGCTGTGAAACCAGGACTAATGACATCTCCTCCACTTGCACTCTTTCTAGTTAAAGATGCCCCTGATTCACTACAGATGGTTGTGCAAATGGCTAATGAGGCTACCATGATCATTCTCAAATTAGTTCTCAAAACAATTTTAAAGGATTGTGAGGCTTATTCTTCATATTAGTGCATTGCTATGTGCTAATACATAGCCCCCCAAATTTCAGTGACTTTACACAGTAAAGGAATATATTTTTATTCATGTAACAGTACAAAAAGATGTTTCTAGGTTGTTCTTGTGGAAGGGAACAAAGTAGATGGGGATATTGGCTCGACAAAGTCATTCAGAGACCCAGGCTGAGAGAATTTCTGCCACCTTCATCATGTTGCTTCCAAGGTCACCCAAAGTCATCCTGGGCATTGACCTTGAGCAGA